CATTAAGTAATGTACAATTTACTAGTCAAACATTTAAGACTCAAGTCAAAGATAAATTGTGGACATTTTGTCAATGTTAGGCAACCAACATTGCCCAAAAGTGACAGTACATATTTCACAGTGACAGAGAATGTGTGTAAGGACGGCGAAACCGGAAGTGAGGTGCAACTGGCGAGGTGGCAATCAAACCACTTCCTCCGGCGGCTCTCATCGCATTTCAAGCCCCAGCTGTGATGGCAATCCGCAAGTAAAATACGATGGAAGCCATATTTGTCATTTTATCAATACAAGTATCGAGCCCAGAGGGACATACATATGTATAAGGACATGGGGACACATCTGTGTGCCGATGGATGTCTACAATACGTATCATTCATGTTGTCCTTATTAGACTTGTAGCCGTGGCTGCCACAGACACATCGCTCAATTTTTGTTATCCTTTCTTCGCTTATTGGCAGCGGTTGCAATATTTCAACAGGCAAATGCCACGCCCCATAACCCCACCACACACATACACATACGCATACACTTGCTCCCATCCTTGCTGCTCCCTTAACGCGTCGTATCGCATCGCTCGCTTGTTGATAGCACTTTGTCATGTGTTCGACAAAGAAAATTGAAAATAAAAATCGTTTCCCTTCCCTCTCCCCCTTCCGGCACCCCATTCTCGCCTCGCCGAATCAAATTGTGAAGTTTTGCACACACATGTGTGTGTGTGTGTGTGTGTATATGGGGGGCAGAAGAGTTTTAGGAAAACCAAAGGACTCGCACACTCTTATGCGTACGGACGCTCGTGTGTAAATAGTCTGCAAAAGCGGCTAAAGGTTCCTGTTTTTTTTCTTCTGTGAGAGGGCTCCTTGTCGGTTCGATTTTCCCATACAATAAGGGAAGAAAGAATAGCAATAGTTGTGTCAATATCAGTAAATACTCTTGGTAGGTCTTGAAAAACATAAATAGTAAAGGTAAGGCTGTAGGTGCTTTTAAATAATTATGTCCTTGGTGACCAGTGATGTCTTTAAAGTAATTTGAATAGTATTATTAAGGTTTTAACTAAGTTTGTCACATCAATTTACAGATATATTTCGTAGCAGGTGTTATGCGATTTGAGCACTTATCAATTAAATTGTGTTAATGTCTAAAATTGGCCACAATGAGAACTATTATCAAATAAGCATTTGGCATTTAATCAATTTTAAAAGCATTTTAAGCAATTGTTTGACTATGACGCGGTTTACTTAATATGAACAATACTGGAACAATATTTACGGAATGTAAATTTCATACATTAACTTGCCCTTGCAGGGTATTCTAATTTTAGTCAGAAGCTTGTAACCCGTGAAGGAGTCGTTTCCGACCCTTTAAATAATATATATTCTCGATCAGAATCAACAGTGGAATCGATCTAGCCATGTCCGGTCGAAAAATAAATTTTAAAAATTTTTCCGAAATTTGAAAATTTTATAAGGGGTTACATCATTAAAATTGTCAAAATTTGACAAAAAAATCAAATCTTTCAATTTAAAAATCTAGTATGCAGATTTGTTAGCCCTATAAAAACTAGCACAGAAAAGCTTTCCGAATTGAAATTAATGCACTTTTGGTTTAGTTATGGTATTTTAAAATCGTAAATTTACCCAAAATATAAGCATATAAAAATAAATGATTGCCTAACTATGATAGATTTTGCATTTGATCCCATGATCTTGCTATAGGATGATAGAGGACTTACTGATAGAGTATTACACACATCGGCTTTCCGAAGTTAGCTTCAACTTTTGTCTATTTAAAATTTACGTATTCCAGAAGCATACAAATTTCATAAATAAATATAAAGTATTTCCTAGAAGCTCTTATGCTTTGAAATATTCACACCACATTCCTACAAGTATCGTCTTTTCAGTATTTAATTTAGCTTGTAGAGTGCCTTTGTTTCTTCATAATCCTAATCAAAGTGAAAGCGCTGTAAGCTAGCGGGCTATGGGGAAATTCTTTGCATTGCAGCGGTTTACTTACATCAATTCCATATCATCTCTATGGCGACATTTTCAAACGAAAGTTGCTTTTCAAGTTTATACATAGACACTCGCACACACAGGCACCACGCACTCGGGTAAGGATGGAAGGAAACGGTTGCTGCCAGTTGATCCTTTTTTTATTTTTGCCACTCTCTCTCTCCCGTGTGCCGTGTCCTTTTCCGGCACTTCTCGCCTCTCCATTCCACCATTTGTCAGATCCCGCGGAAAGGGACTCGCAAGTAAACTACAGAAAGCATCCATTTCCATCGGCTTGTCTTTAATGGGCAGGACTTTTGAGAATTTTTTTGCTCAGCTTTCCGCTGGCCACACTCAAAACCGTTAACTGCACTCACACACATATACAGAGTTCCCGCACACACACACACACACTCACACACATTGCAAGAGAGAGTGCACATTGCAATTCCGTTTCACTTTCGCCCCCCACCATTTCCATTGTTCTTGGTCCTTTTTTCCGGGCGATTTCGAAATGAAAATTTTTCATAGCATACATTTGCGGGCAATTTCCAGTTTTTGCAACGCTTGCCATTTGTTCGCCTTAATTTCTTTTTGTTTTGTGTGTTTTTTGGTTTTTTTTTGGGGGGGAGGGTTTTAGGTTTTTTGGTTTTATTCTGTGATTCTTTTGGTGACATTTTGTTATCCTTGGATTGCTCCATGGTTCACTTTATTTGCAACAGCCATTTTGGCCGCCTAGTTACTGGTTTGAATTTCGGTTTTTTGTATTTTTTCCTCTCTCTCTCTCGGTCCGGCTCTGATTTATAGCCGGCAAATAGAAATTGTAATTGGTTCTCGTTTGCCACTCGGGCGAAGGCTAATTACACGCTTTGCCACCGAAAGTGGATTTAGGTTGTGGTGCACTCTACTCCTTTCCTGCATAGCCCAATGCTCCGTTTTCCCCGTCTGCACAAGTGGGTCAATTTTTGCCTGTCGACCATAATGCAATGAGAACGATAACGAAGCGATGTGTGTGCGGAAATGGGCGGCTCTATTGGTATGTGGAATACACTGAACAAAACAGGAAGGATAATATAAAATATAACAAAAATATGGAATTTCCCGGATTTAGGATCAGATTGGATTCTTTGTTGCCAAGGGATCTGTGAGAGGATGGAATGCTTCTTTGTCTAGATTTAAAACATATAATCACTTAGCATAATTTATCAAGGATATTTCTGACTTTACAGTGTTCTTGTTCAGAGATTTTAGGCACTGTGGTGCGTGCGGCACACAGTTTAGACATTTAACGCAAAACCAATTACAAATACAGCCACATACTCTCGATCTCCCCTCTCCTGTGCCAATGCCAAATGCCATGTTCATGTCAAAGCTGACTACAACCACACATGCAATTAATAGGAGTGCAGCACACACACACACTCATCCTCTCGTTGGCCAACTGTTGACTGACCCTATCGGCTAGCAGCCTGACTCTTGGCTTTGGCCAAAAAATCTGAGGCATCAACTGCGCCGCTCAGTGAAAAGTCACGTACCAACTGTTGAAAACACATCGTAAAACGTACAACTTTGCTCCGCTCGGCTCGCTTAAAATGCACATAAAACGCTGCTAGGGAAAAAGGGTTGTCAGTTGTTAGCCCGGTCCCCTCATCTCCCCCGAAAGCCTTGTGTGCGTATGACGTGCAAATTTTCCAAAGCTGTTTTCCCAGGGACAACTCGGAAGCGAAGTGCGGAAAGGAGCTTGGGAAAGCCATTGCAAAGCGCACACAACGAAAAAAAAGGGGCCAACGCATTATATTTTATGTTTGAGGAGGCAGGTATGCTAAAATTGCTGTGCAGTGATAATGAAGTTAATGCAGGGAGGGTTCCAGGTCCGCCAAATAGCAGTTGAAACTGCCGAGGCATGGCCAAGTGAAGCAGAAAGCCGGGCTAAAAGGCAGCACACACACAGCACACAGCACACAGTACACAGTGTATATATATAGAGATATATATGTGGATATATATGCGATTCGGGGAGTAATTAACTCACACGCACAGTCATACCCGTTGAATAATTCACGCTGCCTGCTGAATGTGTAAATCGAGCATGAAATTTGATTCGTCTTCACCTGGCAAGCAAACGACTTTAAACTGCTTAACTAAAGAGTCGTACAGAGCAGGGCAGAGGGTTTATAACGAATATATATAAGAGCGGTGAGAAAAATCTGAATTTAAGATACACATACTGGGGCATGTCTCACGGGTGGATTGCTATCTCTCTTCTGCAGACATTTCCCGTGAAATTGGAACATTCTGGAGCATTTTTGATGAATGTCTGTCAGGGCTTTGAACTTCAGCAGATTGTAAATATAAAGTGAACCATTTACTTTGAACAAACACTGGCCAAAACCCACGATAACTCAATCAGATCTCAGCCCCAGGAGTCACTCCGGGAACTTATAGTCGTTCCAAGTTGAAACTACAACTTTTTGCTTCGTTTGCGATTCTCTGCAATGCTCGGTGGTTGCATTGAAAACACACAATTTGTAAATTCAATTAACTTGCTTGCCCACACTACACTCCCGAAGTAGTTTGGTTTTTGCGGCAAGTTAATCTATTGCGCAATCAACATTTTGTAAACGATGATATTTTAAACACTGTGATTATTCCGAGGCTTTAAAACTGCCGCCGGCTTAACCACTTTTCCGACGCTTTTCGTCGTGTTTGTGTTGCCATGCCAGCGGCATTATTTAATTTGGTAAAGTCCGACACTAAACCAACAGGGCAAAGCTGCGAGCTCGACATGTTTGCACATCCGCACATCCGACAAAAATTGCGAAAAACATCTCTCGCATATATGCAAATGGCCAATGAAAGTATTACTCTTCATTTCATTAAGTTTTAATTAAACTCACAGCACTTGCCAGCCATATCCTGTGGCAATTTTTTGTCCGCTGCTTCTGCTGTTTCTGCAACAGGCATTACAGGCAAGGGATCCTTTTTTTTTGTCTGTGTTTATGTTTGCATATGCGGCTTACACAAACAGCCGGCGGAGTGACACCCAAACAGCCGGAGTCCGTTGTCCAGCTGTCCTGTTTGGAGCTTCCACAGATGCAGTTGTCAGTGGCCGCAGGTGGGCAAAAAGAAGCTTCAACTTTTTCCAGCCAGGTGCGACAACAAACGCACAGTACAGTACAGGGGGAGTGAAGTTTGCTGCAGGTCGCGTGTCCAAACTGCCGCTTATCAGCAGTCCTTCAGGTGCCCGGGCAGCAGGACACTCGTTCAATCAAGCGGCCCTTTGTAGCGACAAAAATACCGTGGGGAAAAACGGCATTGCTTTGAGGGAAAACCCAGCCTGGCCCCCTGTCCCCCTAGCCACATGTTGCCACACTTTCGCTTAGCATCGCGTTTGCCTTCGTTTCACTTAAATGGCCCGGGACCTCGTCCTTCTCGTCATCCTGCGCTTGGAGTTATCCCTTTCCCGGCATCCTAATCGATTTTGGGCCAAACGAGCAGGCCAATGACAGCGACGACAACAGGTGCACAGTGAAAATGGGTTACGAAACTGTTGGAATTCAAGCGGGAAAAGCGGAAAAACTTTTTAAAGTATCTGGATATGACAGGAATTTATTCAATTGAATTAAATAAATATTGGTCGGAGGTTGTGAATTGTGGGAATTGGTTAACTATACACTTGCAGGGATGATTTGTGTTTGTCCTAAAGTTATTTGTATTTAATCAACTCTAATAGATATTTCACATGTTTATTTAAACATATAATCTAAAGCAATTCCCAGCATGTTATTTCAATTAAAACATTTCAATTATAAATAAGAAAACATATTCTCTCAGTGCCTAGACTTTCAGTTGTCTGGCATGAGGAAATTCCATAAATACTTTCGACAAGATGCAAACTTCCGTCGAACATAATATGAGCATTTGAGGCAAATGCAGGTCTCAGCCCCCGTTGGAGTGCGCCCCTGCCTCCATTTATGTCACTTTAAGCTTTGGAGCCAGAGCCAAGCTAAATCCATCGCCAAGCCCCAGCTCATTGATTGAACACCCCCTCGGGCTGACGGGCGACTCATGGAACAGTCGAAAACATTTGCCAGATTATCGAGCGATCGAACCGGGTCAAGCTCCTGACTTGGGCAATGCAACTATTTGTTTAGCCAGCAGTTAGCTCTTCCGATTTGCACTTCCACTCCCATTCCCACTCCCCACTTCCCTTTCCAATCGAATGCCTCTCTGACTTGCAGTTGATTGAGTTCGTGGTATTATTGATTTGATTCCGCTATCGTCAATTGGCAGTTCCGCCAGCCAGTGAATACATCATCAAGATGGGACTGGAATTGGAGGTGAACATGGAGCTGGAGCTGGTTCTGTCGCCTCGCAGTTCGCTGAACACTGTTTATAGTGCGCCTGGAGTTTAATAAATTTGAAACAGGTGTTTGAATGCCTCTACCCAGGGCCATTCATAAATCAAAATGGGTTTTTAAACTACACGACTGGCCGGGGATTAAGCACTTCGCCCCCCGTTCGGCCTGTCGCTCATGTGTGCGAGCTGCTGTAAAACAAAGACAGAAACCGCAAATATTTTTGAAGCGATGTGGACGTGAATGTGGGTGCGGATGAACACTGGGACAAGGACAAGGACGAGGACGAGGACGAGGGTGATGATGACGATGGCGGCGCATAAAACTTGTTGAATTATTCGGTACTGGGACACGGACGTGGCTTTGAAAATTCTTTGGCTGCCAGAGTCTTAGCCGAAAACGGAATTTTTTATTATTATTGCAAATTAAAAAAGTTTACATTGGCTTAACTATGTGAGCGCCCAGACCAGGCGGCACTCTGCCAGCTCAACTATGTAAAAGCCAAGTTTTAGCTGAGAATGACTGAAGTCCTGGTGCCTGCCTGGGTTGGGAGCGGGTATAAGTGGCGCTGGGCATGAGTAGATGGAGCAACGATTTGCAAAGTATTTTCAACAATTTCTGCCGCAGGCGCACAGCCCAAAAAACCCATCATAGGCGGCCTCATCCAGCTCCCGTTGCCACTCAACGGAGCGTATTAGCAAATTAAATTCCATTTTCGCAGGTGGGCGTTATCTCACCTGTCTGTCTGCCTGTGATTATGAGCCAAGGACTTGCAGCCACCAAATTTAATGCACAGCTTCCGGGGAAATAGTGACAGTGTGTGGCCAGTCAGGTGTACAGAGCCCAACTAAATGGGCTTTAAAATGAAAAGCCAAAATAGTTTATTTATTTCGGCCAACTCACTAAAATAGATGACAAAAAGATCTGCATATAAACTGGCATTTAAATGGGATTCAATTAAGTACTGAAGACAAGTTTATGTGAGTTGGCTTAAACTCATTTAAAATAATCTTAAGCCACATCGTTAAAACTTGTCCGAAAAGGCTTTAAAATTTAATGGATACAAAGTTTACAATTGCATCTCTTTCGCCCATCTTGCCTTAAGATGTATCTATATGCATAATTCGATCGTTAAAGGACTTTGTGAATTTTGGTTAATAAATTCAAATAAATAAACTTAGGCAATAATGCTTACCGTGCACTTTCTTCATTAAATGGACTTTAAAATGTTGTATAGGCAAAGGTCCGAGATTTATTTATTTATTTCTGCAAACTCATTAGAAAAATTGACATATCCCTCGGACTCGCAAAAAAGAAAAATGCCGACTGGCGAAAATAAAAGGCAGGCACGCGCCGACCTTCGTCGAGAAGGGAAACTCACATTTTCCGGACTGGGGGCTGCCTTTCGTTTATTGATGGAGGAGCTGGTGTAACTGGGGGGGAATTGATTAAAAGGCATTGTCGAGGATGTGGGCTTAAGCCACGTCGCTGCACAATACATACACGTGCTCGCTGGCGGACTTGTGTACCTTATAGATATATATATATATAAATATATATACCTAACGAGTATGTATGCATATATGCAGCGGCTTTGATCTATCTACGCTCGAACAAAAAGCAAAACCAAGAACTTGTCTAACAATTTGACGCTTTAATCCGTCCTCCGATGGAAAAGAACTCGAACGTCTCCTTGTCTAAGCTCCAGTTGGTCGAGCGCAAACTGAGATTCATTCGAACTGGCACGGATATCCTCGGGTCTGTGAGTGTGTGCGTGTGTGTTGCCTTTTATGTGTCCTTTCTGGTGTCGTATTATGGTAATTCGCATCGAGACCGATTACACGCAACATGTGGAAGAAGGAGCTTTTCCCCTGAAAGTCGAACCTGTCGCTCCGTTTTCCATGTCCATCGAACTGAATACGTAACGAACGTGATGCCAAACCAAATAATATTTTTCCAAGTAAATTAAGCCAAATAAATACGCAAAACGAAGACTGTGAGCTTTAAATAAATTAATTAGGCATCACCACGATTAAATAGCTTAGGATGCATTACTTAGATACTATTACTACTTAGCATTGCAGGATATTCTAATTTAAGTCAGAAGCTTGTAATATAAACCCCATAAATCTTTTATATATGAACTTTAAGATATTCTTGAGTTTGGGGTCCAAATTTTGAATTGATTATAATTAAATCAATAAAGAATATCTTAAAGTTCATATATAAATTCAACGCTATTAGTGTTCCATCGAATGAAGCAATCAATTATTATTAAAAGGATTGCGATGAGTTTTAAAATGCGACTTACTTTCTTGAATTTCTCTGTAAAAATGATAAAAATGAGTATATGCTGCAGCAATACAAATTCTGAGAAGGCTGTAATTGTCTCAAAAATGAGTTGGCAAAATCAATTCCATCAGTCAAAGCTCAAAGAAAAAGGGGGCTAGGAGCTTAGAGTTCAAGCTGCCGCAACTCTTGAGAGCTGCAAACGGCGACAGCAATTGTCCTGGCCCAAGGATGCTGCTTTTTGTTGGCGTTGACAAACACTGACATTGAATCACCAGCTGGTGCTGACCATCGCTGAGCAGGAAAAGAAAGTGGTGTTTCCAGGAGATTGCTTCCAGCCTGGATTCCATTAAGTTAAATTGCATTTCGCGAAGTCAAGTTGGGCCGCCTTTGTGCGAGCTTCATCCTCCGACTTGCCACGTGCTGATTTGCCACCTGAGACTGGGACTGGGGACTGAGATCGAGACTGAGAGTGACGGCGGGTTGGCCATAATTTAATAGTGCATCAAACAAGTTTATTGCAGCTGCAATTGCATTTGCATGGACAGCTCTAGGAGCGACTTTCCCCACACGACCTCTCGCTGATTCGATTTGATGCTTCCCCAGTTAATCAATTGATTTTACCTTCGGTTGCCTGGCTGCCGGGCTGTTCGACCTGTAGAACTGCAGCCAGGCAACGGCAAAGGCATCTGTCTTGTGAATATCCGAACCTAATTCAATATGCATTGATTTCTATTGCTCCCTGTCGTGGCCTTATTGCATTTACTGCTCCCCTGATTTGTGCGCAGAAAATGCATTTCTTAGAAATCATTCAATATAAAGTGTATAAGAGTTCCTTTTCTGGCTCCGCAAACAAATGTATTGTCTTGGCCTAATTAATTTTTCTTGGGAGACTCTCGCCTCATTAAACTTTCAATTGTGTTCCGGCGACTTAATCAATTTTGATTGGCGATCCGGCGAGCCGGGGTAATCCTTGGAGCATAGATATTAATGGTTTTTCTGTGTAAATCTTAATGCCGAACCATTAGGGGCGATTACAATGCGGTTATTGTGGGACTCACACTTTGTGAGTGTGTGGCCAGTTTTTGCGGTCCCGGCGTTTTACAGGAAATCAATGGACCGCCCAAGGGGCGTTAAATTTTATTAGCGCAAAATGATTTCATGTGCCAAATATTTGGCAAAATTGACGCTGGCCGACGACGATGGCCGTGCTGTCCCAAATGGCGTTGCTAATGGCGGACATTAACGGGGCGTATGCGCAATCTGCGTTGTGCGTTGTCATGCAGGACACGCGTCGCCACTGGAGTTGGCTTTAAGTGCACTTTGCCCTTAATCCAACCAGCATGTGAGGGCATGTATGTGCGGCATGCAGTTAATGTCCGCTTATCGATGGGCTACAATAACGATTACGCAGCCAAGTTGTCCGCAACTGTTGTGTATTGTCTCGTCTCTGCACAGCCAACAAAAATGGGGTTACTGAAGTATATATATTTATGGTCAAGATATTAAATCAAATATCTCTTCAGAACTTTTACAAGAAACACATTTCTATATTTAAGGGCATTTTGATGTCTTGTTTTTAAAGTGTGCAGTAAATAGTTAAGTATTTAAATGTTATAAAAACCTTCTTTATGATTTATATTTTTCTTGCAGGCATTTGGTACAACAGTGACCGCCGCGATTGGGTACGCGTTGCCGGACGATAGTACCCATTGTACCCTGTCAAAGGGTTGAGACCATCGTCACTGCGCAAATCATCCTCCACCAGCAGCAGCAGCAGCATCAACAACGCCTGCCCCCCGCCGCCGCCCACACCGCACCAAGTGAACCCGGCCAGCTGCAGCAGCAGCAGCAGCACTCCGCCCCACTCCCAGCATCCGCATCCGCATCTGCATCATTACCACCAGCACCAGCACCAGCACAGGCGCAGCAGTAGCTCCAGTCACACCAGCCACCAGCCAGCGGAGAACTCGAGCGGTTTGGCCACGAAACCGGCCATCAATTTGCTTGGCAATCAGCTGCAGGTTAACTACTTCGAATTCCCGCCCACCGCATCTGGCCAGGCGTTGTTGGTCCACAGCGGTCGCACCACAGCCTCCACACCGTCGCTGAATTGCCACCACCAATTCCAGCAAAACCAGGTCCAAACCCAGCACCAGCAACAGAACAGCTCCGCCGTTGGTGGCAACTACAGCTCGGCGGTTGCCAAAGCGGCTGCATCCACAGCCTGTGCGCTCCTTGCCACGTGCCACGTGTCTAGAGATTCCCCACGACACCACCACCAACACCACCAGCAGCAACAGCAGCAGCAACCAAAGCAACCCAGGAGTCCGGAGGAGCAACAGCAAACCGCAGGCAACATGGGTCGACGCGAGATAAAACGTTCCAATACCAGTGGCTCCACCACCAGATCCTACGACAGTGGAAGCGGTGAGTGCTCCATACACTGAGAGAAAACTAAATAGAAATAGAATATAGAGACCAAATCATAAGTTTAAGAACCATTTAAAGAAGTTAATACCTTATAGGTTTATGCTCCTAAATGTTAACTGCTGTTAAGAAACATTGCTTGTCAAGTATTATTTATAATAATGGTCAAAAACCTATCAATTTAAGCTTAAGTGTAGGGAATCCCTCTTTAGAAAATACTTAAATAACAACATAGCACGCAGATCTATTCAGTTCAAACCAATTCGAAAAGGGGCAGTGGGCGGGACACTGCGTAATCGCCTTACGTCCTTTGATTGGGTCCCTGAATTCCCTGGGAAATGACATTAGGCTGGCAAATTAACTCAGCGGAGATTTGTTGTCAAGCTGTCGTTGTCCTGCCTTTGGACTGTTTCCTATGCGGTTTTCCTGGTCGGACACCAGTCGGACATACAAAAAGAACTAAAAGTGGTGGAAGTGGAAAGGAAATCAATGAAGAAAAGCAAAGAACTTCAGTCTGTGTCTTCAATTGTTCGGAAATTAGTTTCAACTGAATAAAGTAGAATTTCAACGAAATGATTAACAATTGGCACTCGCTGGCCAAGATGGTTAATTACTACGAAATATTGAATCAGATTTCAATTAATTGTTAAGTAAAATTGTTTTTATCTACAGTAAAGAGAAATTATAAGTTATTATTGATAAAAGTAGAAGCAATTAAAGTCTAAATGAAATGCTTTGGATTTAACTTACCTTTACATTTAAGTCTTCAATTTAAACACTTTTTGTAGTTTGAAGCATACAAATCTTTAATAATTTATGACTTCCGTTTAATTAACATAGGACCAGCCCCGCTTGCACCAGCCTTTGCTGAATCTCAGCCGACTAGATATTGTGTATTAGCTTATCCGCAGATAAATCTTGAGGTGCAGGCGGAGCCTTTGAAACACGAGTGCTTTGTTGACATTACTTAACACTTTAGAACCTAAGTAAGGATAAATGCCAGGAGCCGGTCTAGGAGCAGCCAGAGATTATGTCCGAGAGGCTCTCGTTGCATCCCTGCTTCTGGTAACACTCGTACAGCGATGCAATGTTCCGGAGTCCGCAGCAGTACTTGGAGGCCTGCTGGCACTGGCTACCCGCCTGGTGCTCCAGTTCCTGGGGAAACTGCAGGCTGTCTGCAAGGATGGCAAAGGGTGAGGTGAGCTGATGTCTGAATGGCGGTCGTGGGTTGCGGTTTCGCTGCCGGAGCAGGTCATGCAACACATGCAAGGCATGCAACGGATGATGCAGCTGATGCAGCGGGCTTACCTTGTCTGAAGGACGGCCGGGGGGCGGATGCTTGGGGGACGGAGGCTGGGGGCGTGAAGCTGGATAGGGGATAGGCTTGGGCCACGAGATCGTCGGCTGCAATTAAGAGGCGTCAGCATGTAAACCATCGTGCTAAGTGCAAGTGAATGGGTGCCAAGAGGGCGCAGGATGCGATGTGCGATGTGTGCGATGCAGGATAATGTGTGTGTTTCTCGGCGTGTATGTGGGTGTGCCTTCACCAATTGAGTGCGTCTGTTTGTTCTGGCAATTAATGAACAACGGGCCGATGTTTAGGCTTTAATGAACAACAGCAGATGATGCAATTGCACAGCGAAATAAATGTTAATTTTCCCAGGATTCCTTTCCGCTAACAAAAGCTCGTTACATCAATTTATATGGACAATTTAAATTGAAAATTGAAGCTACCATATAAATATTTAAATTTCAATTGGAATTTAATTTCAATTATAAAGTCTGTCCTTTTTTTCTTTATTTATCCTTTTGGTTATAAAAACCACAGAAAAGAAAATAATAACAAGGATGAATGAGCATCGCATTCTGCTTCTATTTATTATATCCTGAATTTATCAGTGGAATGGCTTAACAGGACTACAATTATCCCTATCAAAAGCTTTTCTTTCCCTGTACATATGCGCCAATTATGAAGGAGCAAAATAATGATGTCCTCGAGCAGAGAGGATCTGCAATTGGATTTGCAGGTGTAAATTGTGTTCTGCGGCTCGTAATAGACGGCCAATTAAAAGATAGACCATCAATGGCCGAGGGCCTCTTGCCAGTTGGTTAATTGATATGGCTGAAGGGATTGTGTAATTGGAATTGAATTGTGAGCGGATTACATGTCTGGACAATCGATTGGCATCCAATTAAACAAACATACTGAAGTCGCAGGGCTAAATTGGAAAATTGTAAATTGCTTTCTGGATTGTATGGCGATGATTGGTCACACAAAAATAATGAATTGTAAACTATATTGCGTATGAGTTTAATTATTGTATCAGGTTCCAGGTCAGTTAGCCATTCAAAATGTATTAAATACCAACAAAGGAATGTTGCAAGAATAGAGAAATACCAGAAGAATTATAAAAATATACATAATGCATTGATAGAATTTTTAACCATCGTTTTGTGTGACATTTATCAGTGGTAAATGGTTAAGTAATAAAATAATAAATAATTTAAAACCTATCCAACACTGTTGAGGAATTCACTTTAATTTGATTTGAATAGTTTGGCAATGTATACAAAATGCATTTTATTTTTCCAAACTATGTTAATATAGTTATCTCAGACTTTGAAATGAAATGAAATTTAGTGCATGCATATTCCGTTTTGTAGTTTGAATTGAAAACTACTTTGTTAACATGCAGTTTATGACTAAAATAGTTATGGAAAATGCTCTATTTTTTGTGTTACTAATATAGTAAGCGGTTATTAAACAAATGGCTTAAAATAAACATGCAAGTGATTTGGTTAGAATTTGTTATCCTACGCAAGTTAACATATCGCTAAGCAGGCAACAGACTTTTAAAAAGGGTAATTCGCGGGAAAGCGAACGCTTTATTTACAAGAGTTTAGACTTAGGCATGTAAAAAATAAATTATTTATGTGAGTGTTGCTGAGACAAATTTGGCAAATACGCTGGAAGCAGGATCGGCCCGACGCCTATGGGAAGGCGCGCAGGACCTGGGCCAACGAACCGTCGAGCACGCCCTCGTCCGCACATGGATTGATGCCCCAGAAGGCGCCGTGGCAGCCAAAGGATTCGAAGCAGGCGTACCGGATCTTCTTGCTGCCGCTGTCGCAGCAATTCACGATCGCCCACACACAGTTGGTCACCTTGGGCGCAGTGGTGGGCACCTGGCTCTGGGGGGGCCTATTCGTCATCGGCCGGTTCTCTATCGATTCACAAAGAGTACAAAAGGGTGAGAGGTCAGGTCGGGTGGAAGGTGAAGCGATAGTCGGAGACAGAGACAAACGATGGCAGTTAATTAGCAAAGCTCTCTTTTTTGGTTATTCACGGATATTCGAATGGATACTGAGTCTAGGGATAATGCATTGCATTGGTCACCTACCTGGGCGGGAAATGGCATTGCCACCGGAAATGGGACCGTCACGGCCACCACCCGAAGCAACCGAGTTCGAAGGAACCGGGCGGCGCGTGGGCCTGGGATTATTAAATTGACTAAAGTCAGCATTGGCTGGATCGGAGTCATGTATTAAGTCAAGTCGACTGTTAATATCGTCCGGCTGTTGAACATCCCCCCATTCGGGATTCTATTCGATTGTGAGCCTCGATTTCCTCCCTGCAGATTGGGTTTCTTCCCAGGCACCGGTAAACTGAAATGGAAATGGGAAATGGAAGGTTGTACTTCTGACTCGTCGTGTCTCCTGTGGATGCAACTTACCGAGGAAAATAGTAGAGGGTCTGCAGGGGAAGGTGGCTGTTATATGAATAGCCGGTGATAAGTCCATTCCACTGTGGGCTTCGACGCTGGCGACTGTGGTACTTCTTGGGCAGTTTCCGTAACCATTGCTCCTTTACAGGTGTCACCAGTTGAGTGGCCTCCAAGTTGCTAACGGGCACAGCCTCTAGGTCGTCCTTGAGCACAATCGGTTTGTCGGGCAGGACATCGAACAGGATCTTTTCGCCCTCATTCTCTGGCTGAGGCTCCGCATGATGATGGTGCGTTCGCCTGTGCTTCTTGTGGTGTCCTGGACTGGTGGCGTTTTTAGAGGGGTCTAAATATAAAGATTAGATATTTATTTTATTAAATTTAACTGAAACATGAAGCAGAAGTTTTTGTATCCTTCCCTCTTCCTTTTCAATTAGAGAATTGTATAAGAAATCACTCTTAACTAAGCTTATAATATTGGAATTCTTTGACTAGATATTTATATATATTTTTATAGGAATGTTTTAACTCATAACTCAGCCAAAACTGCCTTAATTTTAATTTGGATAGCAGTCCCATCTTAGTTTTGAATATATTAATAAATCTGCGTACTATATTTTAAAATTAAAAAAAAAACAAATTTTTGACAATTTTAATGATGTAACCCCTTATAAAATTTTCAAATTTTGAAAAAATTTCAAAAATTTATTTTCGAACCGAAGATAACATAATCAGATCGACTCTGCTTTCGCTGCTGATCATGAATATATATGATTTATAGGGTCGGAAATGACTCCTTCACAGCGTTTCAAGCTTATGACTGAAATTATCATACCCTAAATGGGTGTAGAAACTAATATATATAAATAGTGATTTTTATTACCAAAATCCTCAGTGACAAAATCCTCCTTGTACATGATCACCGGATGATCCTCCTGCATGACGCCATTCACGAGTTCCACTTGATGGATCTGTTTGGAAGAGACACTTTGGGGGTAAACAGGCGCCCAGATTGGATTTCCCATTTAGACACACATACCTCCACATTGTCGGCATCCGGCGGTAGGAGGGCCACATCGCTGTCATCCTCGGTGGGAGGACGGGTGGCTCCCAGGGCCACCAGACTCAGGAGCAGGGCAAATTGGAGGACCGGAAGTCTGCGGCCGGCGATTCGATTCATCTCCTTCGGTTCGTTGGCAGGTCCTGCAAGTGGCAGCAAGCAAAGATTGTGCATTAGTCGCCACGACCCCGAGTCAACTTTTATTTTGCAGTTCAATCTCAATTATGTACTTGACCCCCCCAACCAAGCAACCAACCTCCTCAATGAAGGAAAGCAAAAAAAAAACAGAACAAACAAAAAACGGAAACCCTCAAACACAAACACACACATCAGGCAGGATGGCAAAGTTTTGAAGTTGTAAATTTTGTTGCGGTTTGTTTTGGCTTCTGGGATCGGGATCAGGATCTGGCCTGGCCCCGGTCTGTCTCGGTTTGCCCGGTCTCTTGGTTTTTGGGGTTTGTTTTAAATTAGACATCAAGTTGAGTTCAATTTTTCTTGGCCTTTGTTGCATGTTCTGCTCTGTGGCAAAACTTTTGAATTACTTTCTCTGGCTTCCTCGCTTTGCTTCATATATATTCTTCACTCTTATTCTGCATTTTTTGTTTTATTTTATTTTATTTCTGTTTTTTTTCTCCCCGATTTCCGGGCACGTCGTAGGCTGCCAGCCATAACCAAAGTGTCGGGTTTGAGGTCCTTGGACGTATCCAAGCGGAAAAGAACACAATGGCTAAGTACTTAAAGTATTTTAATATTCTAATGCACACTGTTCCAGCGATTCTAACTAACCGTTGCTCAGTGGAAACAATATTCCTTAACAAAATCGCTTTCTATATTTCCGACAAATCGCTCTGCGAGTTAGATTGAGACTGAACCGAATGCTCGAGAATGTTGCTCATTATAAACGGAAGGCAGCCGCTGTTTGGACAGCTGCTGCCGCGGCAACTCACTCGAGAAGAGATCGATGTCTCACGGCTATTAGGTTCTCTGATAAGAACGAGCAATTTTCCGTAAACAAGATAATATAGAAGACGCAGGCAAAGATAAAATGTCATCAGAATTAGTCAGAAATTCGTCTCCCGCACGTCAATGGACAATTTAAGGCTTTATTTGTTCTAAATGTAGCTTGCTACCATATGTTCTTCCTTCATATATTTTCTTGGAACATTTTCTATACAATAGTTTCATTTTACATTTCATGGGAATTTCGAAGGTAATAATAAATAACCCCTGGTAATCTACTTCGTATCTCTTTGCTGGTTTAATTTAGTAAAGAAATTGTTTCCACCGACTGCATTAATTTCTTTTAACTAGAAAAAGCTAATATAATGTGATGTTCAGACTTGATGACAAGACAAGCAATTAGAGGCGAAAAAGGCATTGCATTACCAGCCAAGGGGAAAACCTGAGACCGCACAAAGGATGTCAAACGAAATTAAAGGAAATACAATAAAGATACCCAAGCGGGATAACGAAGGAAGATATTATTCGTTCACAGACTTTGTTAGGGAATAAATCAGCAGAGCCAACCGATTCTGGTCAGGGTTTCTTAATTGAAAATTCCTGTATTGGATTGAATTTGCACGAAATAATAATTAGCAAACTGTTTGCATATTTAGCAATAGCAATTTTGCGGTGATTGCGAAATTTTCATTTCGTTGTGAATGGGACCGAAATGCGGAAAAGCTAAAATAAATTTGTGCCAAAATGCGCTTACTCCTCTGCCCGGCTCCGGCTGCCCATAAAAGTGTGCTAGCCCGATGCAACTATATAGTGTTTTTCCAAGGAAAAGCCAAAAACACAAGCAGATACAATCTGATACGATTGCTCTGGCTTTCAGAGCCACACACGGAGTAACGCTGCCAGTTCAAGCTGAAAATATTGGGTCAGGACCCGGTCCCGGACCCGGATCCGGATTCGAGCCCCAGACCCAAGGCAGCACAAAAAAAACAACTCGATTCCCAAAAATTGTGTGAATAGCCAACGGAAATTGTAAGTTTGTCGGGGGAATAACCCCCAATTTGTTGCTACAACAGCAGCAATAACAGGCACTCGAGCGAGCCACAAGTGGCAGATGTATAAATGAGCATGGAAAACAAGCTGGAAAAAGGGAAATAAAAACGAGAGAGAGCCGCCGCCCCCATCATAAATATGAATAAGCTGAAAAATAATAATACTTGCCAACCTCACAGGCTGCCCATCCCTTTGTTTCTTGTTATTTTTATGCTGCCAATAGAAGTGCCATTAAGTATTCAATTTGTAATATTTTCGCACACAATGAGATCAAAAAGTGTCTGCTCTTAATTGGTTTTCAGTTTGGCTAAATTCTATATTTAGTTTTTCTGTTATTTTGCTCAACTCACACTGGCCGCAATGGATTGTCGAGTGGATTTTGTATTTTCTAAATATTTTTCAGCCTTAAGTGATTCAATTTGGATCTCGGCGCAGTTTTGGTCAGCAACTCTGGGGGGTTATTGTAATCCATTTTTGCAGCAACATTTTCGGCATGCCAAATTGGTTTTCAGTTCTGCCTGGCAGCCACTTTTAATTGGATTTAGCTGATGTAAGAAAAACTTGGACGGTCCCATTAGAAATTCAGGTGAAGACCGGTGTCAGGGACCAACCCTTTCGGCGCGGCCATTAGCGATATTAAACACGAGTCCGACGCTCTTCATTACGCCAAAAGTGTCTCTGCATTATTCACATACATCGCACCACAGCTGTCCATTGACAATTTAAATAATTACGAGTATACTCTGTCTGTCAGCGAGTCCTTGCAGCTCTCACCTCGGCGCAGAGCCGCAGCTCCTCTGCTCCTCTGATCCTGGCGTTGCGCACAAAGGCAAATTGAGTTTCGAGTGCGCCAAAGTTGCCACAAAAACGGGCTGTTGGCCAGCAGTGACCAGTACGTTCGTTCACCCACCCAAGAGCACCCTCGGGCTTCTGGCCACACATGCAGCCGAACGTCGATTACCACTCATTAGAAACTTATCGGACGAGGGCGGCGGTGGTGGTAAATGGGGTGGCGAATGCAATTTCGCCAGCGGCCAGCCCCAGCTGGACCGAGGCGCACTGTGACCTGGTCGGAGCCCCGGGATCCACTTACCCGTAAGTGCGGCCATTCCATCGCAAACACTATGGCCCCGAAAAGATGATGTGGCCAGCCAAGTGTGGAACACCTCGAGCCCCACCTTTTACTTGTACCCACCCACAGCACCGACAACCGCAAACCACCTGACGACAAGGACGATTACACTGGGCAACTGCAAAAGGGCATACGAAATGCATTATAAGGCCCCCAGATGACGGGCACCGCTTTGCATTTTAATTCATTAAATTTTCTTTTAATTTCGGTGTACCTTTGGTACTCTAGTAAATGAAATATAGTGTATTATATAAGATCCAGACCTATCAGACTTATATAAAAATCCCACGAACAGGAGACAAAATGGAATGCCTTATACAGATATATTTTAAGGATTAGAAACTAGTTTGCATAGAAATGGTCAGTTGATGATGATCAGGAAAATATATTCTATAGGGAATATTCTCAAAATATTGAGGGAAGAATCAATATTTACTCATTTTTCCTCTTCAAAGTTCTTCAAAAATTTGTGCTTTGTTGCGCAGTGCCATCGAAGCAACATGTCCTGTGGCGTCCTCCTGCAGTTACTTTGCCTTTCGGGCCAGTAACTGAATGGCGGGCAAACCCATAAAGTGGCACGGAAAATCGGATTTCATTAGAAGCGATTATTTATACAGATACAGATATAGATTTAGATACGGTATACACTTTGACGATGAGGCGGCTGGTGCTTTGCGCAAACACCCGGAAATGTTCGATCAGGGCGAGTGCTGCTAATTGATATGGAAATTCGGCTGCTGGCCCGGGGCGAGCAAACTCATCAAAGTCGGAAAACTCATTGCAGATGCGATTAAAGGCAAACACAGTAGGGTAAACATGCAGCGAGGTAAGAAGATGCTTCTTCAATCGAGGAGCTGCCCCAGTGCCCGTTTGCTGTTTGCTCTGACCTAAAAAATACGCAATAAACCGCTTTGCTTTTTTCTTGCCTTTGCTCATCATTTTGGCCTTGACTCGATGCTGAAAATCAGCGAAAAATTGTAAGTGAAATCCCCTGAATGTGATTATAAAAAAAAAAAAACAAGTAGCTTTTGTTCATTTTGTTTACTCTGATTTTATGGTGCTTTTATTTCGAGAAAATTCCTGCATAAATTGTTTATGCCCGAGCAACACGTGGCAACTTCTGCGGCATTGGTCTTTGTTCCATCTAATTGGCTTAGGAGCGGCAAAGACGTGGCCACAATGGCCCCTACCGTTGCCCGGATCTATTCAAGTGTCAAAGTGTCTGTCGTCAGAGAGAGAGAGTCACGTATGTTGGGGCATCGACAACGGAATGCAAATGCTGTCAGGTTGCATCCTCTGCATCCTGTGCATATGAAACCCCATCCGATGCAGACCGACAAGCATATTGCAAAAGGGGAAGAGCCTGTTTTATTGAGATGTTCCCTGCTCGATGCCAAATCAAAGTGGGTCAGCCTGCCTGCCTGCCTGCCGGAGGTTGTAATTAAGCTGGCTGGAATTTTTTCGCATACAGGTTGCATCGGACCACATGGCGAATGCGTAATGCGATTTGGCCGATCAATGGTGCGTATGCGTAACATGGCCCTGGCCTGCTGTCAGCTGTCATTTTGCACCCTTTTTTTTACGCCTCACTGTTGTTTCGGTGTTTTTCTTATTTACACACAAACAACACACGCTGGCCTCCATTGTTGCCATTTGTGTGATTTTGATCTGACTGGAAGCCTGGCCCGCAGGCCAGCGGCATCCAACTTTTCTTATTATTGTTCAAAATGAAATTTATGCGGCACGCACACTCACTCACTCACAGACAGAGCAAAGTGGGGCATCATCGTCCTCCGGAAAGAAACAATGCAAGTGGAAAATGTTTTCCCTCATTCTTCTCAAGTTTTTTTTTTAGTTTTTGTAGCACATTCTGGGGGGAAATGAAAATGGAAATGGAAATGGAAACGGAGGCACTGCAATATGTTTTATTCAGTCCAGACGTGGATAGGATTCGTAGAACTGATCAATTCCCATCGGGTAATGAGTAATGCATTCATTATC